TCTTAAGTACAGTCAAACCTGTATTAAGCAGTCACCTAGGGGATCCATTAAAAGTGACCTTTATACAGAGGTGACCTTTGGACAGAGGTTCATCTACTTTTAAGGAATTTCTATACAAACATGTCGGTTCTGTGTTTCTAATATTACATAATAGAATATAAAAGAAAGATAGGTGTTGGACATCAGTGGTCTCATATTTTTAACCTTTATTTGAGGATGAGTTCAAACTAAATTTAATGAATCCAAGAAAATATTACAGGGTGTTGCATTATCCTCCATTAAAATAAAACAACAAATTCTTTATGTAAGGAATGATAATTTTATGCAATGAATAAAATGCAATGTATTTTATCGAAACTGAATCTTTAAAAAAAATGTTCAAATTCGTAAAATTAACCACTGTACATTTATGTTTAAAAAAGACAATACATAAATCGCTGCATAATAAACATACAAGTCACTGATGTACTCGCTGTTGATCAAAGGTGCCACAGGTGTCCTGAGCAATGAAGCATTTCTAATCCCTAATGGTCGTTTTCCATTTGTGAAATTCACGGCATAATCAAGCCACATTGTGTATACAAACAGTAATTATGGTTTTTACAAATGATACAAGTTTCCTATCATGCATTCTAACACTGTTCCATGTGCAGCTCTTGGAGCTGGGCATATGATATCATAAACTTATAAATAGGAAACATAAAATTATCATACCCATTAATAGATAAGTATGGTTAAACTTGATTCCAAATCCATAAGGCCTCATAATCATGACAATGTTCGTTTTTCCTGCCAACTTTTTCGGTCATTCATAGCACTGTTGTTGGCGTTTTCTAAGATACTAGAGGTTAGTTCGTTAAATAATTTATATGCTTATCCAATAATATAATTGGTTTTAAATATTTGAACAGTTATTATTTTTTCATGATCCAGCAATGCTTGATCAATTATTTACATTAGTAACAAAAAGTTGTGAATCAGCTGTCTTCAGATCAGATCACGTGATTGGACAAAATGGCCACTATAGACGTAAGAAATTTGATGACCGCTGACCGCGTTACGCAGGTTACTGCTTAATAGAGTTATTTTATGTAGGAAATTTCATTGGGAGGAAATAAAATGACCGCATAGGACAGGTGACCACTCGATAGAGGTGACCGCTATGACAAGTTTAACTGTATACAATTAATCTGAGCAACAGTAATCATGAAACATCAATGAAAGTGAATATCACAGTTTTAAACTCAACTTTTGAACACAACTGGTCAGAAATGTCTTAGAAGTATATATCCTCATTTAAAATTTGGGTGCATTATTCTTGGTGATAAGTACACCTTATCAAGTCCAAGGCCAGTTCTTCAACATGCAAAGATGAATTTCTTATTGCACTTTTTAACTCTCCATAACTTCATTAATTTATCAAAAAGCTGCCTGATGAATCAAAGTTTGAATTGACTCTTTTTAAACTGCATAACCTTTTTTGCAGACACTTGCATTTTCATGATATCAAAAATTTATCTAAGTTCGATCATTACCAAAAACTATAGCTATACAAATTTTAAACTGTTGTAGCAGTTCCAAAGCCCTTGCAAGTGGCATGTTCTTTTCAGCACTTGAGTATTAAATAAAATCTTTTATGTTTACACACAATCAGTGAATAGCATTAGATTTAAGCATCTCTAAAGTAATGACATATTTTTTCCTTAACATCTTGCCAGACATTGGAGAAGACCAATACCAAGTTTTGTTCAGGGCCTGTCAGTTTGGGGGAGGGGCTTGTGGAAAGCAGGTCTTCAGTTTAGATGAGTGTTGCACCTGTCCAACACACCTTCCCCTAAAAAATCAGGAAACTAGGGTGTCTTTGAAGATTGAGGTAAGATTATGGTGTACAGGTTCACTCAGCAGGTTGCAAAGACAAGGGAGACTTAAATGTAAATGTTTTGTTTTTGAGAGTTGTACAGTTTATGTATTCTTATAATAGTGATATAGTCATATGTGTTTTAATATCTGTTTTCCTATATGTCTTTGAAGGAGAATGCAGATTCAATGGACATGAAGTCTACAGAGTTAACAAAAGAAGCTCTGGACTTGCTACTTCCACAACTGGATTTTTCTGCACAAGAAATCATGAGTCGACAGCTACTCTCAGAAAATCCAGAAATGCCAGACTCCATATTCTCCATCACAGAAGCCGACAATCCTGAATCTATGGACACAAGTGACCAATCAAATCTTCCGGTGGATCCCAGTGAAAGAATGTTTCTCAGTGAAGAGAAATCCGAAATTAAAGTCAGTGATGCAGAGGATGGGTTAAATTCAGAACAGAAATTTGGGCCCCTTCTTCTTCAGCAGTTACAAGGAACTTTTGAATATTCTCACAGCAGGAGTAGTAGTAAGAATTCCGAGGCTGCTGCATCACAGAGCTCCGCATCAACTGAGACTGCTTCAGAATCAGCACGGGAAAGAAAGGACTCGGATGTCACTGATAATGAGGAAGACTGTAAACTGACAGAAGTGACTGATGTCTGTTAAAAATATGAGGATTTTATCTACACTGAATTAAAATGTTAAAATATGTGTCAATTGTTTGTCAACTTGTGTAATTCAGTTTCAGGAAATGATTCTATTCCTGGTTAAGAATTCATGTGAAAGCATGAACAGATTATTAACTTCAAGTGTTTTGATGCAGAATCCATTTGGACAAACTTAAGTGGTCTCCTATAAAGGATTAACAGGCGTAATGTCATTTTTTTGGTTTAATCCGAATTGCCAAAGTTTTCACTATTTGATCCTTTAAAGGTAGCATTCAAATCTTTTTGATTTAATTTAAATGCCCCCTTTTGAAACTAGAGGTACTGTGACCAAGCTCACAAAATAAAACCCCCACTGCAATTTTTTTAAAGTGGCCCATTCACAATTTGTAAATGTGACCTTGAACTTTTTTTAAATGACCTTGGTTAAAAATATGACATTTAAAAAAATAAAAAGATGCATCCTCTGGTCATAAGTAATGTTTGGTGAATTATGGATGTTTCTCCATTAGAAAGTTGAATGAATTTTGCACTTTTTATGCCAGTGACCCTGAACCTACCAGAATGACATTGGGTCAGGTCATGACACACCTTCAAGATATAGTATTATTTGTGTAAAGTATGACACAAGGTCAAACTACTCAAGACTAAGAAGATAATGTCCACTCATTTTGCTTGACAGAAATGAAGCTTGGAACACATCTGGTCCTTTCTTTTAAGATTTTGAGGTCAAGGGTCAAATTGGACAAAGGAAGATATTGATCACTGTACATATGTATTTTGAGAACCCTTTGCTTGACAGACAGCTAACATAATGCACTGGTTTCTCCTAGGAAGTAGATGACCTCTGTTGATTTGAGGTCACAAAGTCAAGGGTCATGCTGGCCTTATGCTCAGTATCTTGAAAACCTTTTGCTGTGGATACAGTGTACACATGTACATGTATATGTTTCTTAAACATATTTTTGTTTTTTAAAGTATGAGATGAGGGGATAGAAAAATTCTGCAATTTTAATTACCAGACTTGGAAAACTCCGTTTGATTGCAGTGTACGGTATTGTACCAGGGTTGTAAATACCTTAAGCATACATTGAAGAAGTCTTACCCAAGCATGCTAAGGGAGTTTATAGAGTATTATTTGAAAAGGTAATGCATACACATGTATCAGCATCATGGCAAAGCTGATATGGACCAGCACTTTGATGAAGAATGTTCTTTGCTCGCAATTCTTTTTCTTAGTCAATTTTTTAGAGAACATCACATACATGTACATAGGAAAATGGAAATGGATTGAAAAACTTTTCAGTTTTAATTGCAACAGTACATGACTAGAAATATCTTCAGAAGCGGATAACTTTCATTGATGGAAGTGGGATTCATGCAACAACAAATCTTTTATCCTTTAGTTTCTCATGTTCACTGGGATGCAGTTTCATAATAAATACATGTACTGGTATTTCAGAAAATATTAGAGGTGATTGTCAAAGTAGATGTGCAATTAAAAAATTAGGAAGTAGATTGTCAAAGTAGAGCAAAGTGACCAGGTGACCTATTGCAGTCTGTTCCTATCCAACGAGCAGTATCAGTAAACTTCTAAACATTTTCAGCTTCTCCTTTGAAATGGCTGAGTCACTTTCAACAAGTTCTGGCATGTAAGCACCTATGGATGAAGGGGAACAAGTTCTTGAAATTTCATGGTCCCAACCCCACTAAGACCAAAACCATCAAAATTCACGCTCTCTTAAAAAAATCTTATTGACCAGGTGAACTTTAAAATTTCAATGTGTTGTTGTTTTATTTTAGTTGGATGCATACCCATATACCAAATAAAATGTCTAATCCAGCACCTGTGTAATTTGTTTTATTTTTAATTCCAACCTTTATACGTATGTATTTGCATTCCAAATTTTGATTTTCCAGATTTTTTTATACTGTGCGACCTAATACCCTGTCTATTCTAAAACAGAATTTGTCTCAAGTGCTTATTTGTCCCCTACCAGTGAAATCTGAGGGGACTATAGGTCTCCTCCTAGTCTATCTGTCTGTCCCTCCGACTGTCCAACTTGGTTTTCTGCAATTTTTATCTAAATGCTTGTAGATATTGAGCTGTTTTTTGGTATGTGAAATATACCTTGATGAATTATAGATCATGTTTGCATTTCATTCTGCTTTGATGATTACTGACAGAATTAGGGGCTTTTAAGGGAAACCATATTGCACTTGCTGGTAGGGCACTAGTATTGCTTGTGCAATACTTTCAGAATGCTTGTTGGATAAGACATATTTCACTGTACATGTACTGAATATCCATAAAAAATTTAGCTTGAATGAACCTCAGGTCAGGATTGTCAATCTTTGTCTATGTCACATGCTCAGCAGTTGTATGTTTGCCCACAGTAACATCTCTGGTAAAATATATGTGAAACATTGTAATAATTCACATTAACAAAGTTTTGAAAGCATTAGACATACAAAAAATGTCATTTATTACATGTATATTAAATAATTGTTTCTAACGAAACATAATGAAATATAAGAATTCACATGAGTGTTCTGAATTAAAATAGTCACTGGCACATTAAAATGATACCAAAATAGAATTAAAAGAGGAAAGCACTTTTACAATAAATTTTAAATTATAGTCCATCTATTGGTTATACATTAAAGACAAGAGACTTGGAAAACCAACAGAAAATATACAAAATCATTTTTGCATGCCACTGTATTTACATTGTACTTTTTAACAATAACTGGTTTACAAGACAAAAAAGTCTGAGCTACATGCAATAAATTAATTAGAATGATGCTTGTACTGACCCTTCTTTGCCAATATTTTACAGCAAGTTCACTTTCATATAATCTGCTAAAAAATGAAAGGGGTTTATCCTTTGAAAGAACTTTGCAACTTAGTCTTTATTAAGTAAATCACTTGCAATTATGCCGACTGCCACACAACCTCAATGTCTGGAAAAATGTATTCTATCACAGAAAAGCCCTGTCAGACTCTGCCACTAGCACTAACATCTACACAGGATATGGTCAGGTGGAACAACTAAGAAGTCCACAATTTCTTCCACTGTTCCATTACTGGTGTACAAAACAGATCTGTATTTTTAGCTTTTCTGTGTCACAAGTGTTGCAATGAATGACTAGGACTATGACGTTTTGAGGCGTTTGCGTTGGGGTCCGAGGGGCGGACTTTGTTGACTGGCCAGGGCACGAAATGCATCAGCAATGAGATGGGGATGATTCCGTATTAGAGTTTTCCAACCAGGAGTTTCCATTACATCTGTAGCATGACTGTAAAGAAAAAGAAAATGTAAATACATAAACACCAAATCTGTCATTTCATTTTGCAAGTACATGTCCCATTATATCTTTTTTTTAAATTTACACCCTTCCTAAAATTTTTTAAAAAATTTATTAATAAACAATTTAACATACAGTATCATGATATCAAAAATATCTTTTCAAATTTTTTTTATAGGGACAACATATTGTATTAAGTACATGTAGTATGTATAAATACAACACATTACCTGTTGATGAAATCAATGGCATGAGTTTTAAGCTGATCAGCGCTATGTAAATCTGCTAACACTAAGACCTCGCACACATTGTCAATCCAGAGACTGGAACATAATGCTTCCTCACACATCACCTTTAATCGGTCTAAGGCATACTGAAACACAAAAAAATTGATTTACTACTCTGGTGTTTATATACAGGAATAATTGTAACATTTGAATCAAAAATCAATTTGACAAAATCTGATAAATTACATTCCTGCACATTACGATATATTGCAGTATTGTGTTCTGTGTAAACGTTGTAAAATTGAGCTGACCATTTATTTATTTATCTAATCACTGAACAGATACACAAGCCTGTTTTCAAAGCAAGTTTACCCCTAAAAGAATATCAATTCAATAAAGTAAAACATGGTTATAGCGAACACATGAATTCACACTTAAAGCCAAGCGACTTTCATTCCCTGTAGTCTTAAAACATATTCAATTATTGTATACTTGATGGATATAATGAACTATGTTTTCCGTTTCTAACAAATCAAAATCCTTCATCCCTGGCACTTTGTTTTACTAAATGATGAAATGATTGTAATTACACTCAATTTCAAGAAAAAATTAAAAATACCATTAATATGCATCATAAAGCACACATGTATGTGTTTATGGATGCTATCATGTCATGAATGGTATTCCACATAAAATTTGGAATACATGTATTGAAGTCGTGAGAATTCAAAAGCACATTACTGTATTGGCAAAACAAAACAACTCTTCAGCAATTAGAAGTTGCGATATATCAATGACTATTAAGTAGAGGATAGAATTACATGTAATAGCCTTATACCTTATCAGCTGCTGCTAGTAGATCATCTGCCATTCTGTCTAAGTTTGGAGCTCTTCCTGTGTATATAAATCGAAGCATCTCTCTCATAACTTCATGGTCTACATCTGTTATATCTACACGATTCTGAAATCAATATTTTGTACATTATCAGTCAATGATCAGAAAAGAGAAAACTTATTCAATTAGAGGCAGTGTGAGCAGATCACAAAAATGATACTCCCTCTTCCCATATGAGTATAAGGGCAAAGTATGTAAATAAGATTCTCTGAAAGTTCCATTGAATTTCATTCAGGGGTTTAGGAGAAATTGTGTTAACAAAATGGATACCCCCTTTATCGAGTATAATGGTAAAGTCTATGTTTTGCTATGGGAAACCCCAAATATCTGTCAGATCTGAAAAAACATAAAATTGAGGTGGATAATGGCACTTATATAATAAAGATTCTATAAAAGTCTCATTCAATTTTATTCAAAAGTAAAGGAGAAGTTGCAGATATGAGATGGGTTCCCCCAATATTCACTAAAGAATGGAAAAGTCCATGTTTTTGCTATGGGAAATCCAAAATGTGTGTCCGACTGAAACCTAAAATGGGCAACGCACAATGCAGTATGTAATAAAGATTTTGTGAAAGTTTATTAAATTGCATGCAGTGGAGTGTATTAACGAGAAGTTGAGGATAAGGGATTGGAAAGACATACAGATGGACCCCTTTTCAAGTGGGTGGGGGGGGGGGGGATGAAAAGTCCTTTAACAAGTTTTGATAGATAAATGTAATAAACATGAAATTCATCTCCATCTTTTCAAAGATATGTTTGAATTACGGGTCCATTCTTTTAAATAAAGACATTAACATTTAATGATTATAATGCTAAACATTTACTGAACGATAGAGATCTTTACATATTTTTAACTGAATTGGTGTCTACATACTTTCTTGCTCTCTTCCATCTCATGTTCGAACATTGCATTGAACACTGGAGACCGTGCTGGAAAAGAAAAAAAAACCCCATGTCATTTGGATAACTTTGATAAATACACAATACAGGTATGTATTATCACATGATGACATCTAAAAGTAATTCAAAATCACATAGTGACACCCCTTTTATTTCCTGTATCCAAGTGTCTTGATAAAATTTACTCAGCAAAGATAAACAAGCATCAGAGTTAAAGTAACAGCACACACATGTATTAACAGGACAAATACCTTTCAGTAGGAACTTACCTGCCAACACTGCTTTGTGTGCTGAGAACTCCCTTCCTCCTAGGTAGAGAGTGACATCACTAAATGAGGACCTTTCAAACAGGACCCCCAAGTCATCACTGAGTTTACACTCGGGGACTTTGACTGGTGTACAGTTTGACTGACCAGAAACATTCACTGTGTCACCGACCACTGACACCTGGAGGAAAAAAATCACAGAGCTATATCAATCACTGCATGTGTACTCATACCTGATGCATGTTTGTAATGAGGAAAGATGATCTACATGAACTTAGGGGAAATATATTTTAATTTGAAAGAGTCAAACCATCAATATTTGGTGTTTGGAGTGTGTCCCAATTTTATTACATAAAACTTGATTTCTTTAAAGCTGGAAAAAATACTTTCTTAAACAAACATGTTTCACAATGCCAATATTTTTTGTCACATGTACTGTACATGTTCAGTATTTATAAGAAATCATGTACACATATATTTAATACCTGATATGGTACATGCAGTACTTATTGCAATTCCATGAATAGTTTAAAACATTTTCAGTAGGTTGTGACATGATAGTACTCACATGACTGTTAGACAGTGATGTAGACTACACATTTTGTATCAGAGCAAGTGTGTCACAAATTTCACAGTTTATTGGCTGCATTATCGGTAAGTGTCAGCACACTTGAATTTTTAAACTGTATGTGGAAATGCTCTATTAGTTTTCTTATTGATGTCTGATGAGTGAGAATTAGGACTACACTTATGTAAGAGTCTAACACCTTTAAATGTCACCAGACATAATCAATAACTGAGCTCCCTAGTATATATACAGTACATGATATACATTGCAGATCTATGCTTTCTTATCATTTAGCATTAAACAAATCCAAAATAATAATTAATTTTTCTTTCTGTAAAAAAATAATTTGCATGCTTTTTTATCAGCTAGCAAATAAACAAATCCAAGATAATTAATTTTTCTTTCTATAAAAAGCTAATTTTTGCCCCTTATATTACATCTTGCTTTGCATATATTACATACAAACTGATATAAAAGGTACAATACTACACTTTTCATGGATGTAAATAATACACAAATGTGTTTAGTATGTAAACTGTCAATTATAGCAAAATACTTCAAACTTGTACTGCATGAATGATGCATTATAAATATGATTAACAATACTACATTGTATATGCACAAAACATGTAATATTGTTTATATACACATATTCTCACAATAAGTCTGCCACAGCAAGAATAGTTTGAAAATTTAACTTTCTATATGAATACATATTGTCAACCATGCAAAGTTTGTGTCTGAGGATGAAGAAATACTTATTGATATATAGGAGTGAAACGGTTCACTGCGGTATCGATTCACCGCGGTATTTTTTCTCAGTTTGATACATGGTGCAAAATCTCTAATTTTCGGTTCGGTTCATTTTTCGGTCGGGATCGTTATTCAGTCGGGTTTGGCATAAGGTAAAACACGTTACTCAGTATAAATAAGTATAGAAAACGTAAATTTTTGATGACTGATAGCTTGTAAAATAATTTTTGACAGTCAAATAATTTTAATCAATTTCTTCTAGTCAATTTGCAAATAAAATTCGTAAAATATGTGACTAGATTTAGAAAAAGAAAGCATAAAACAACGTTGAATTTGTTTCCTTCTATCAAAATGTATCGTATCGAAAATAACCGAACCGAGACAAAATTATACAATACGTATCGAACCGTGAAGGAGGTGTATCGTTTCACCCCTATTGATATACTAGTATTTACTACACAAAGTAGAAAAAAAGACTCTAACCTCACAAAATATTGTTAGTTTATCATCTGGTAAAAGACCATTGGCTTCATCCATTAAAAAGTCCCTCCTGATGAACTTTTTAAATCCCCAGTCCTTTCCTTGCACAAAGCGGTAAGCCCTTTGGCTTTCTGTAAAAAGAGAGTAAATTGATTAATATTTTAATAATATTTATTAAACTTGGTCATCACATACATGTATTTAACCACATTCATCTTACAATTCTTTCACTATAAACTATATATAAGTTGATGACTACATGTACAAGTGTTAAATCATACATGTTAATCTAATGTGATGAAAAAGAGGGAGATTCAGACCTCAAAAGAGGTAGCATTGTGCACATTGTTTTACGCATTGATTTCTGTAAACATGGCCTTAAATGACCACTAGAATAATTAAACTCAAATATCAAATGCAATGAACCTTAAAGGTTTGACATAAATCATACAACTCTAATTATAAATATTTTTCATGCTCATCACTTTGGCTTTGCTTGGCTGCTTAATTTAGCCTTTTGAAGGGTGATCTTTATTGATATAGCCTGGAAGCAATAATTCTGATTGTTCATTTAGCTATCAAATACAGAAAATGATGACATTGTTTAATTCAGATCTAAAACTAGCTCCTATCTTTCCCTAAAAAAATTGGATTTCCTGTGATGACTGAAAATGAAAGTAGAGAAGCAAAAAAAAGTATTTAAAGAATGCTGGTTCCCTTTTTCTCTTTTATGGATGATGTCAAAAGTTTTCGTCCAGTTTTAGAATACTACATGTATATCTCCCTTTTCCTTGGCGGGGATATTGATGAAATTTATCGTAACCAATGTAATTATGGAGATTTGTGCACTTGTCTTGTCAAACATGTGCTTGAAATCTATGAAATCATCGGTACAAAAAAGCATTTGTATGCTCCCAGGTCAAATCATACAATATCTAATGAGATTTTATGACAAGTGGCTTCAAAAATGGCTACCCAAGCAAACCAAAAGTGGATTTTATAAATAAGCGGTAGATTTACGAATAGAAGTGGTAGGTGTGAGATGGAGTAAAAAAGCGGTAGACTTCCGCCTAAAGCAGTAGAGTTAACATGTATGTTTAAATTTTTCTTTTGACCTGAAGTAAAATATTACCCATAGCCTTTGTTTCTTCTCTTTTGGCATTCAGTATTGAAAATTTGAACTTTGCTCTAACTTCACTTTTGTTACATGACACTAATAATAAATATAGAGATAAATAATCTTTGCTTTCTTCATCTAATCCTTTAGGATTCACTCGTAAACACCTGAAACAATAAGAAATTAATATAAATGTACAGAAAACAACTAAAACCTAATGACGGACCTTTAAAAGTTTCCTTAAAGACAGCTCAGTCAACACTTAATGTTTTATTTATCAGCAGCAGAAATTTGTATCAATCACTAAATGTACTCAATTTTTAAATTAATTATTACATTTTATTTTGATATTAATGAAGGAAGAAAGTAATGTTACCATTTGAGTTTGTCATTTGCTCCTGCTGAGAATGTGGAACTTTTTAACACTTCTCCCATCTCTTCTCTACAGAAGCTGAAGTTATTGATTGTCCATATGTAGGAAAACTTTACAACTTTCACCTATATATACATATATAAAAAGAAGACAGCATATAAATAAAACATAAACCTTACATGTGTCATAATTACACTGATTACAAAATCCAACTTTTAAACAGAGATGGGTCTAAACTCCATAATACAAAGATATAAATTATACATCCTTTGGATGGCTTTTTTTAACACTTTAGACCTTATATTAACTGATTGAATTACCTGTGTGTAACACCAGTTCTCTGCCACTGGACATGTCATCTCTGGGGGAGGGGGTGTGGCCACCCTTCCCGAGATGGATATCCTTCCGGAGTGCTCCGGAGCGGATGACGCTTCACGATCCAGATTGTCAATTTTTGTAGGTCCACAAAACAGATATTCTTTGAATCTGAAATAAGTATTTCAGTGAACCTGGCTCTTCCTAATTCTGCAAACACAGAAAATGTATTACATGTATTAAATTCTTAAAACAAAAATCAAATTATGTAAGCCATTTATGAATCATTAGTACATATAAGTTTAATTATGATAATAAATTGCCTTTCTTAAATTCCGTCATAAAGTGCATTTACTGATCTGTGTTATTTCTCTATTTCTTAATCCTAAAGTATATAGCCTATCACTAACACCTTTCCTTCTATTCACAATTTATTATCAAACTTACAAAATGGCATCGTTTTTCTTTAAAATCTCATATAATTCAAAATGAAAACATATTAATTTCCCCTCATGTTGAAATCATAAAAAGCTATCTTTGACAATGTCTGAACCTCATGCACCAGGATATGAACTATTAGGAGATTTGTAGTACTGTAAGTATGACCTCGTATTTCAGCATATTCAAAGTTCAATAGTACATTATCATAATTTTTGTCCATAAATTACATTTGCTAACACCTTAATTCCCAATACAGTTACTTGCTAGATTTTTATTTCATTATGCAACAAAATACCCTGAAGTAAAACAAACTTTAAAACACCATAAATGTCACACTGTCCTCATCATTCTTCTTTGTTTGGCTGAGTCATGTTTTCAGTGACCATACTGTCCACAGAACAAAATATTACATGTACTAAAGTTTCAACAGTTAAGCATACCATGTTTTAAATGCTGAAATAGTCAGCGTAACACTTATTGCCATAAACCGAGATTTAGGACTCTGTGTACACAATAACACACCAAGCGTGTAGCCCTAGCCTACATATTTTCGTCTGCTTTTTCAGGTCAACCGGAAGCTCATAAATAAATTGTTCTTACTTCATTAGTTTTATGCCTCCTCTGTCCCTTTTCATCTTAAAACTACCTTATGGGTTCTTTCTTCCAGTACCCTTCGTTGTTTAATATATAATTTATCACACTTTTTTAAATTCATATGTCACAGCTGACCTATCGATACCCGTACGACTTCAGCGGAAAATAGGTCAGGAATCTGTTTATGTCCTTACTTTGAACAACTTACCATATCTGTTAAGTAAGACAGATTTACATCTTCAAAGGTTTCAGAAAAAATCCACCAATATAAACCTAAATTAATAAAACTACGGCATCTAAGAATTTTCCCTTTATCATCAAGATTTCTTGTTTTTCAGCTGTTTGAGCATGCGTATTTCGGGAAGCTTTAGAGTACGATTTTTGAGAACGAGGTTTTGACCGAGGGCCTCTAAATGCTCGAAAAAGTCCTTCAAGAGGTATAGATAAACATTATCACTGTCATTAAAGGCACTTTCCTTTACTACTTCTATGCATATTATATCGTTTGATAATAGGAACAATTGACGCTCATTCTTTATTTTTTTTAATGAAACAAATACTGAAAAAGCAGTTTAAGATGAGCTGATCGAAGGGCGGATCCAATAATAATTATGTCATCGACGGACATAGAGAACACACAGCACGAATAAAAAACTACACTGCTATCCATATAAAACACAGTACCTATCCACTGAAATCAGAATTTTTTACTTCTTGTTTTTATTTTTTAACTACTATGTTGGGGACGGGGAGTGGGGATATGATGTTATGTCAAGTTGTTTTAAGTGTATTGTAAGAGTATTTGATAATTGTACTTCTTGATTTAAAAAAAAAATCTTTTATTTTCGTTAAAACCATTTTAGTGTATACTGCCGGATGTGACTATATGAAGTTCTTTCAATAAAATCTATGCTCTAAACGACCAATATAAAGTTTTACCCATTAACGTTACTTAAGATGATACATGTAAATATTATAGAATTCATATGATCTTTTATTTATTTATTTATTTATTTATTTATTTATTTATTTATTTATTTATTTATTATTATTTTTTGTTCTGCTATATCTCATTTTTATATTGTATGAAGGTTACTTTGTACTTGCAATGGTTAATTAAAAAATGGGGCTATATCCATAAAATAGCCACTTAATATATACGGGGTGGGGATGGGGGGGGGGTAACCTCATATCACGATAAGTGATGTACATATACGCATTTGTATAACACTATATAGTGTGACTGTTAATTTGTAGAAATATATATTGTTGAATGCTAGATAATCACATCTGTAAACAAGAACACCATGCAGCGCTAGGCATGTGTATATTTGTCAGTATTAGCTCGAAACATGGGTACTGTCATCGGTTCATCAAAAGATTTTGAAGAGTATTCAGACGGCACCTCGTTCCATCATACCGGACAGGTCGGCCCAAGCTTTAGACTGGTCGGCCCATATAGCACGACCCAAGGATTATGACAGAAACTTTGAAATGCACCCCCATCCCCCAACCCGGATTAAGATTGTAAATCGAGTTCAAATGTCAAAATATAATTTTGCTTTCTTATAATCACTGTTTCTCACCAAATGAGCAAAGATGTTTATCACACATTAGAGTACTAACGGATTTTTTTCCTGATTTTATTTTATAGATAATGATGTTTCAAAAGGAAAAAAAAATCGCTTACTATAGTATATGTTTAGTATACGAGTACTGAGTTTTTTTTTGTTTTTTGTTTTTTTTTTCAAGGCATACTTAGTATAAGACACATACCCGCTCCCAAAAAATAGTTTAGATCGAGTACTAGCAGTACATGAATTACTGTGCAACTTTGTCAAACAAATATGGGGATTTATTGCAGTTATAGATGATATATAATTTTTCTGTATATATACAGTTCCCTGTTAAAGTTAAGAGGAAATAGTTCAAAGTCTTAGAACTACGAAAGCCTATTAGGACCAATCTTTGAAAAAAAAAATCAAAGGCATTAACTTATAACGCAAGATGAAAAGGTGTAAATTTTTTTATAAAGGCAGCCTTAAACACCTTTTAAGCAGACAATATTAATGCTTGTTTAAAATGCGGATTAATAACGCCTTTTCACTTCGCATTATTTTGCTTTTTTCGCGTTATTATACACCTTTTCACTTAAATTCGCGCAGTAATGCTTTTTCAGTTTGCTTTATTACGTGTTATTACGCTTTTTTCGCGTTGTTTCGCCTCCTTTGGTTTTGTGTTATAACGCCTTTTAAATTTCCCCCCATAGATTGATCCTAAAAGGCCTTCGTATAGAACGGTGTGGTAACGTTTTGTAATAATTTATCAAGTATGTTGTAGGTCGATAACCTTTGATCATCGAGAACGATGCCCGGCAGTGCACTCGTTAAGCAGAAACATACCTTTGTAGCGAGACACAACTTGAATTAAAAGCCAAAATTTCAGTTCAACCGTAAGAAATTTTTCTTTGGGAAAGAAGGAAGGGGGGGGGGAGTAATTTGCTTGGCATACAGACAAGTATACAAGAACTAGTATAATTATTTTGAGTTGATAGTGATACACAATAATTGACATTCGCAAAAACACATTGTAGAGACCAGCAGCATTTAACCACGCACTGAATTAGCTGTGAGGATGGGGGTCCACTTTAAATCCGCTTGCCGGAAGTGTTCGATGCGATGCGATGCTTTCATTATAATGAAATGATTTCTTCGTATTTTTAACTATACTTGCTATCCGGAATTTGCCCGGCATGTTTTTAAATAATACTATAAGAAGTCCATATTATAATTCCATCACCATCTTGAGAAGGCGAGATAAAAAATCAATGTATGACAATAAAATAAATAAATAAATAAATAAATAAAATAAATTAATTAATAAAAATAATTATAAAAATAATAAATTCGCAAAAGTCAAATCTCGTCATCTCGAACTTGATGGGACAACCTCGAGATATCCGAGGATTCGAGATATCGAGCCGGGGTAAATATATACTTAAAAACTTAATAAATGTATTTGGGACTTCCAAATCCCTTCGACATATCCATGATATTCGAGATATAATTAAGTGTTCTAGATACCAAAGTTCAACTGTATCTATAATTCATCAAGAAGCCCCCTCCCCCTTCCATCAAAACTAAATTTGATTAATGTTGATTGAAACTTGATTATTAAACAAATACTAGTATTTATAAAACTATAAATAGTTTATATTTCCTTTGTTTATTCAGAAAAAGAATATTTCAAATTCCAGTTACAAAAAGTCTCCTTTCTGATGAAAGTTACTCTGCCCGTCGTCTGTTTGTAACTTTTTCCACTTTCGTTTGACCTCTTTTCCAGAAATCAAACTTACATAAAGCATTCCTGGGTATATCGGAGGTTCAAATAAATGCGTACATTCCTTTCAAAGGAGAGAAATTTAAGAAATATTGAAAATAGGCAGGAGTCATTAAAAAGAATTTTTTCATGAACCATTGGGCTAGAGAAAATATATGTGAAAGTTTCTTTTACTGAGTTTAGATTTATGTTTGTTTAAATTATGATCCCCTGGGGCCAATGTGAGACCACAATTGCAAGGGATCAAAGTTTCACATACGTAGGGAATATCTTAAAAGTTTTTTCTCAAGAACAGCAAAGTCATATTCAAATGCCAGTATCTCTATATAGTGAAAAAACAAGTCAAAGGTAAACTGTAATTGAAATTAATGCTGGGGGTGGGGGTCCACTCACATAAATAAAGATCCGATTCAACCAAAAAATTGGGGGCGGGGGAGTCTACAAACCCGAAAAATTCATGGGAAATTGGTTCGTTAACCCGCTTTCCTTCATATATACGACTCACCTTACCAACTTCCATTTCCCTAGGGGGGGGGGGGGGGGGGTTCATTTTGTGTGTGTTTATTACACTGTGTATACTGTGTATACTGTGTGTACATACATATATATATATATATATATATATATATATATATATATATATATATATATATATATATATATATATATATATATATATATATATATATATATATATCATATAGTCAGACCTTCCATAGCGACCTCTATATTCAGCGAAATCCTATCATACGTGACGCTTAAAATTCCTCCCGAGATTTGTTCATTTTCTTTACTCCCCGTCTAATGCGACATGGGACCATTATTTTCCATCGTAATGCAGTTTAGCGACTTTCGCTCCTGCTTTTGATTACAAAAGTAATTAAATGTATCGACTTCCCCCCCCCCCCCCCCAAAAAAAAAGTTTGCGCTGATGTATTTATTTACGGAATATTTAACTGTGTGTTTGGATCAAATAGTAAAGTATTAAGATAATAGGTATAAAAAAGTAAATATAGATCAACTTCTTCATGATCCTGACAAGAAATACATATAAAATTTGTGTACAATCAATACATTTTATTTTTGTTTATGCCGACGCTATATGATCATGCTATTTAATTGTTTCTTTTCGGTCATAATTTTGTCAGGGATAGTTTCTATTCTTAACACTTTTGTGAAAGCACACAATTTTGAATAAAAACAATTAGTATCGACAAAAGATTTTTATAAATCATAGTTATTCGATACGCAAGAGCATGCTCTACATATGAACAATTTCTAAAACGAGGCAAACTATTGACAAACAAGTTGATGAAACAAGGATATCAACAGCCTCGATACAATGACCTTCAGCACATACTGATAAATGCTGACTTATGTTTTTTCTACTAATTGTTAGGCCATTACTTATACACTGAACTGTCTACGGATTTTTCCGGGTTTTTTTTTTTCGATCGTGACAAGGAGCACACGGCGGGTGTGACCAGTCGGCAGGGGATGCTCACTCCTCCATGGCACCTGATCCCACCTCTAAATTTTGAGGTCCGTGTTTGCTCTGCTCCAAATTCGTATCGTTTCATTGGACTTTCGAGATCGAATACTGTTCGTTATATTCATGTTTAATACTTATCAAAAAGAGCGAAAAAATTTAAAATCATGATAAAAGACAAGCAGGCATGCATATGAAAATGTCTAAAGATGTGTCTCAAGATCGACGTGTCTTAAAGCCCTTTCACAATTGGCGCACGAGCGCTTTACAACACGTTGCGATCGAAATGTGTTAGCTTCGCACGAGCTCTCGCCTGCGTTGCACGATGTCTCGCATTAGTTGCATGCGTTTTAGTGGTCGCATCAAGTCTCCTCAAAATAGTGGACATGCACACTATTCAAACACGACCGAATGCGATCCAAATTATCACAATGCAATGCACGAACATTAGTACGAACGTTTTACAACGTTTTGTGTGCTCGCAAGAGTACTAGTGATGCACGATTTTTAAAAGCCGTAAGATGAATCGCAGCTGTCTATGCGTGTGTTTTACGACCATGAGACTGTTGCTCAACGTGTCTCATGTATTCTTGCAAGGTTTTACTATCATTGCACGATTATCAGCTTCAATTTGCCATGCTTTGCCACTAGTATATATACCCTGTATAAGCATCTCTGTTTCAGACCACAATTGACCATGGGTGCTGCTGCACCAATACCTCCTCGCCTAACTACATGTATGTCAACTGAGTAGCGTCGGAAAGAGTTGGCATATATACCCCAACCTCTATCCAGAGTTATCGTTCCCGCTATGCTCCACTTATGTAATAGTAGCGAAGCGTAATACGCCCTCTGGTGAGAGATTGATATACCCTCTCTGACTCGCACGAGCATTCGTACCATGGAATGCAAGATCGCACGAGCGCCGCACGTCCAATCGCACTGCCGCACGTTCAATCGTCCGATCACCTGATAACTCGCGCGATCCTATCGCACATCTTACAACACGCTTTCGTTGTACAACAGTCGCATCTAGACGCAAGATATATCGCAAGATTTAATGCGTTTGCACGCATCGCATAACAGTTGCTTTAGATCGTGCGGATTGCGTACGAATACTTTTCCTGTGCGATTAATTTGGTAAAAGTTTACGATCCAAATCAAAATTTTTAGGGCGCACGGATATTTTGTCGCTTCTGCTCGTGCGCCAATTAAGATAGTGCCTTTAGGAATATCTTAAGATGTCGTAATTTCCATTCTAAGCAGTTCTCTTTTTTTTTTTCCTTTTTGTAAAACAAATATTACATGTTGTTCCTAGGTCCATATGCCATCATATGCATGCGCAGATGTAATGGGTGGTGGGGGTCATTGGGTTCGGTTCCCTGGAATACCAATTTGCAACACCATTATTGTGACGTACTCCCTTAAAATTAACCCTAAAACATTGTTATCATACACAAATAGAAATTGATGAAGATCTACTTAAAATTCTGAACTTGTACTTAAATGATTTTTAATAAAGATATAACTACTGCCTAGATAACAATTTTCCTACTGTCGTAATTGATTAAAAAAATATCGAAGGAAATGCCAGATTTGTTAGTGAATAGGTCAGTAAATTCAGAGAGAGAGAGAGAGGGGGGGGTCCTATTAGCATGGACTGAATCCCCTATACCCCCTCCCAACAAAAAAAGAGAACAAATCAATAACCGGTATGTTTATATTCATTTCAAAAGAGTTAAATAAACCTACTTCAGAAAGTTTTAACCTGCTACATGCTTACTACATCAATTAATGATTGAATGGATTTTCATTTATATACAGTATAATTTGTCTGATGAATTTTTATGGAACTTGTGGTTTCCGGTTTGAACAAATTATACTGTATCACTTCTTAGAAGACTATGATTCCTTGCTCTACGAGACTACCTGTTTTAACATTTCTTTGATAAGTCGCTGAAGGTTGGACTGTAAATTTAAGATTTACGAAAATCGTGGTCCGGACAGCCCCCCCCCCCCCCCGATCCCAGCTGAAAAAATATTGCCATTATTGGAGGTATAAGATTGGATGGCTAGGAATTTTATATTATACTCTTTATCTGGTCCATTATAACATATACATGTACATGGTTTCATATATAACTTTGGTAAATGATACCGTTTTTTCCACACTGTAAATAAATTCTGTCTACTACATGTGATTCTCCTGTATGATTTCGTATGGTACATTACAAATGACGTTCCTGTGATTTCATTGTAATTTATATGTAATCAGATTTTGGAAAGCAGTCGACTTACCTGTAACTTGTACCACGAAGTGCTAAACCACAGATATATGAGGACAACCGAAGGTGCATGTTTAAATATGTATACATTGATGATGCATATTTTTTTTTACAGACAGCACCTGTAGTTTTCAGTGTTTGTAGTATATTTTAAATAATTTATTGTATAATTTCAAATAATTTTCCTAGCATTTGGATCACTTGAGTTAATAAAATTAAGTACTTATCAGTATATACCAGTCTTCAGGCTCTTACAGGTTGGCCTTTCAGATTTTTCTGTCGTTTTTTTTCAACAATAACTAGCATGTTGTTTTTAAATAGTTAACGAATAAAACAGGCGTGCATTCAAATGATTTTTAAGCAAAATGTGCACAGTAATTTCATAACTTTAAGAAAAGAAGTTGAATTGCAACCGGGTGCTGGTTTTATGAAAGAACAGTTATTAACTGCAATACGGTAGATTCATATGAAAATGTTGTACATTGAAAATAGTCTTTACTTCTCAATACAGAAAAAATATGTCTTGACCTAATTGTCATGGACGTTTAACAATGAAAATAGAAAATCTATAAAACTTTATATATGAATGTTTAATAAATGAAGATAAAATTAGACGAAAAATAATTTAAAAAGAATATGAATAACATGGTTTGAGTTAAATAAACATTGTATTTGCTTGAAAAATGGGCACATTCTGAACACTAATAAATAAATAAATATAGAGGGTTTAATTACACCAAGTGAAAAGTCTAAGCTCATTTTGTATCAATCCCAAAAAGGGACCCAGTAGGGAAGGGAGGGGTAAATTGACATTAATAAAGAAAAAAAACTGTGTGGGTGTGGAGGGGGAGGGTAATAGAACTCGATCGCCAAAGTGTATTAATTTCTCCAAATTGTTAAATGGAGACTGAAAAACACACACACATACAAAACAACCATCATACAAAAAGAAAGTTTTATTATAGAATATTTTTTAATAAAAAAATGTATAAAACGTATACATGTTACATGTACAAACAAAGTCTAAACCAGTCTCTCCACAAACACACTACATACAGTTCAAACAATTCAATGACGATCGAAACGAACAAAAAATGAACCTAACACTTTCAAATCAGAAAACATACCAAAGTATCACACTTAATTTAGTGTTAACGCCCTATACGAAGAAAACATTTGTTTTCTTAATAACAAAAGTGAAATCCAATAATTAATGTAGAGAATTACAAGTGTTCTCTTTCATGATATTTTTCAATGTCTGGCTTTAATTTTTTCAGATTAGCGCACGTTTTCCTGATAAGAAAGTTGAATAAACTGAGAAATACCCTAGGCCTCTACAGTCATATTTGTGTCTATTATGGATGTATTGACCGTTGAATAACCTTTTCAGTCTTGCACAAATTAAACTCAGACATCTCCCTTATTTCAACACGAGCTCTCAGTGAATACCTTATACAGGAATGAACCACTCACACACTTCATTGCATACATCAATAAAAAAGCTGTTAAAACCATTCAGCACTCAATGATGATGAACACGAAAGGTAGAACATATGCACTTAATATAAAGTTTCTGGCGGATATTTGCACATGAAAAGGGTAATTCCACGTGCGGATTAGCAGACGGTAACTAAGAATGACGTTAATAAGGCGAAGAGAGTCATAAACAGGACAATGGTTTGAGACTGTTTGAGTTGATGTCCGAAACTATCAATTCCCTCGTACTTCAGACTAGTGGTGGTGTTATCTAGACGAATCATACCGCCTTTAAAGATAAAATGGTTTATAAATATTAATTTATTAAATAAAATCCCTGAACTTTTAAGGAACTCTTGATTTTTACGAAGGAATAACAATATATTAATATATTTAGCAAGTAGATTCATATGTAGAATTTATTACAAATCGTAATATCAAAATAATCTTCTCTCCACTTAAACAAACCTCGAGCAAGCTCGTGCACAGATCAAAGATACACACCAGCTAAGTACTGTTTGGTCAATTATGAATATTTTCTACTAAAATCTGACTTACCTAAAGTAAAGTACACTGTGGGGGACTTTCGCCCCTCCCCGCCGTCGCTGCACCCTGCTACTCTAACGGCATAAACCACGCCCTTCTGAATTCCGTAAATATCATGCTGAATGGCAAATTTGGCAGTCTCAAACTGTTGGGCATTTCTAAAATGATCGTTGGCTTTCCAGAAATACACCTGAAAACGAGAAATGAAGGATTACAATATACATGTATATAAATAAATGAATAAATAAAATATAAAATAAAAATAAAAATTCATGTAGTAAGAGACATATATATAATCGATTATAATTATTCAAGGCAGAATAAATGGGGGGGGGGGGTGCAAATTTCACCACTGTCATTGTAGGTACAAACACAGAGAAAGAGTGCTAAAAAAGAACATCGATTTCCATCATTACTTAGACAATATCAAATATGACAGTTGTATGGTTACCAGACAGAACGGAGGTACTATTAAGGTTTCAAACAGAACTGAGGTATTTTTAGGTTACCAGAAAGAACTGAAGTGCTATAGTTAATCAGGCAGAACTGAAGTTCTATTACCATTTCGTCGCCAGTTTGGATTTTCAGTGACGAATGACAAATTTATACTAGTGTCACTCTGTACTGTCGAGTGATGTATTCTGTACTCAGTATATCTTACATTAGAGCAAATATTAGCATAGGAAAAGTTGGGTTATATCAATGATTGTAATGGGTGCATACAGCTTTTATATGATCAAGAGATTATAGGCTTACGTCATCGCGTTATTTGTCAGGAACATCCAATTTCCAAACTACCAGTGAAAATGTCTTAAAAATAGTTAAACAGTAGAGTACTGAGATGGTATCGATTATCAGGCATTACTGAAGTGGTAAAAGTTATAAGAGAGAACAGTACTTAGAGGACTTATCAGTCAGTACTAAGGTGGTAACAGTTAACTGAGGGACTGATGGTTACTGCATAATAAGGTGGTAACATTTATCAAACAATAGAGTACTGAGGTGGAAACAGTTATCATACAGTAGAGTACTGAGGTGGAAACAGTTATCATACAGCAGAGTACTGAGGTGGAAACAGTTATCATACAGTAGAGTACTGAGGTGGAAACAGTTATCATACAGCAGAGTACTGAGGTGGAAACAGTTATCATACAGTACTGAGGTGGAAACAGTTATCATACAGTAGAGTACTGAGGTGGTAACACTTATCAGACAGTACTGAGGTGGAAACAGTTATCATACAGTAGTGTAATAAGGTGGTAACAGTTATCAGACTGTACTTACCATGTATCCAGATAAGGTTTCTTCCTCCCGTGTTGTACTGATTCCTCTCCACGTGATCCGAACACTGGAAGAACTTAGAGAATGTGCATACACCTCTTGGGGATATAACTTTGGAACTGTTTTAAGAATGTATGCAAAAATCATATATATAGATTCTGATAAATTGAAGTAGTAAAAACATATTCAGAATAAAAAAGAAATAAGGTCTTCATTTAGAAAATAATTTCAAGAGAACCATTAAAACTTGAGACTGTAGCATCTTTAGACCAGTTAGAATTTTACCTTCGTGAAGTGTTTCCTGGATGAATTTTTCGCTGAGGGGTCCAAGACCAGCTGTATTAAATACCTGTACCTCAAACCAGAAGTTAGTGTCCGGGAAAAGTCCAATAGCCACGGCCTCTGAAATCTGACCCTGGTACCGGATATAACGTTTATAAATAGGCTCTTCATCCCCGTCTAACCAGTAATTAACCTACAAAACAAGCGTTGTAAAATGTTAGGAAAAGAAGTACAAACTGATATTAAGTATTAGCGCTTTGTTTTTTACGGAGAGAGGAAAAAGAACGAATTCTTTTTTTTTTTTTTACCATCTTCTGAATGAACTAAAGTTAAAAGGTCATGAAAGGGAGTATGAATAAAAGATTTTTCTCTCCCTTTGTGTGTGATTCTATGAGAGTTGGAGGGGGGCACCACCCTGGAACCCCCCTTCAAAAATTGCTGGATCTGCCCCTGACGATACCCATCAAAGCAGCCACCCAATGCCCAAACAATCGGCCACTCAATGCCAGACAAAGCGGCCACCTGATAACCAACATACGGCCATAAAATACCCAACAAAGCGCCCCCTCCTTTTCGAAAAAAAAAAAACCGCCTATAACACACGGTGTTTCACTCCTCAGACCACGCTATTGAATGTTATCCACAAAGACCCCTGAAATTTATTCCCATCTAGTTTTCAATTTAAAAAGCTTGAAATCTCTTCTTTTTATCACAAAATTAATTACATGTATCAAAAACAGGTTATTTCTTTTAAAGAAATTATTTTTAAAAAAATAAACTTCATTATATTTTCAATTAGAGGTGTTTAACATTGCTGCTAAAATAAATTTCTTTGTTGACAGCAAGTAATTTCTAGTCTTCTAAAATAAAAAAAAAAAAACAGACTAAAAATAAATACGTATATTTATTTTTATATATTGGAAAAATATTTTTTTAAATTGAAAAAAGGTGAATGTTAATTTGAAGATAAAGTTCATAGAGTGAAAAAATATCTTTCGTTAAGTCCTAAACAGTAATACCCAAAACTAAAATATACATGTACATGAATGAAGTTACAATTGTTTATTGTACAATATACCCCTGCATTCCCTTTCATTAGAGTTATAATGTATAATCTCTTTCTAGATATCTACACCCCACCCCCTTTCATTAGAGTTAAACTTGTAACATTATAATCCCAACATCCTCCATTTCGTTAGAGTTATAACATAATAAACTCTTACTTGATATCCCCACACCCTCCCTTTCATGGTCTCTCTGGTATCTTCAACAGGTTGCCAGGTAACAAGCATAGCTGTGGAGTTGTAGGCATCGCAGAATAAGCCCTGAGGAGCAGCTATAGGCACTAGAAAAACAAAAAGAACTTTTTTTTAAAAAATTCATAAACGATATATACAAGTGTATTTTTAATTTTTTTTTACTGATGGCTAATGCAAAATGACCTTCTTCTGAATATTAGATTCCAGCCAATATTTACAGTCTGCATACGTAACTACTAATATTTCAGCTCAAATTTCCAACGTACATTATTTTTCGATTATGAATCAACTTTTGCCAAGAGGGATAACTCTAAAATCTATTAATTTCTTTCCTTTATATATTATGCTGGTGTGGTATTCGAAATTTGCTTGAATTTTGTATTTATTTCCATCTACTGGTTGAAAATAGTCACATATTCCCAATAAATGAATAAATGAAAAAAATAAAAAGAAAATAAAGAATAAAAAATAAAGATAAAAAATAATCCATTTAAATGAACTGACGGTCGCCATTCTTAACACTTTAAAAAGTTTACCAATGCACAATACCCCCGCCCCTTTTTTAATTACTCGATATTAGAAATATATATCTGCAGGTGTCATTTCGATCATGCCGTAGTGCTATGTTAAATAAGAGCTTTGCCAAAAATACTACATATAATTCTAAAAAAACAGATTTTACTTGTACAAAAAGTACATGACATTTGATCTATATTTTCCAGTGCACCATCCTGTACTTTCAGATAGGCGAAGTTTGTAAATTTTACATGGTCGCAACATGTCTACAATGTAAAGTTTATGTTTCATGAACTTACTTCCTTCCGCAGAATAAACCACTGCCTCTGTTGAATTTGGCCCCCTCCCTTCAGAGTTGTACACCTGGATTTTGACCTCGTACTCTACGTAGTAATTTTCCTCGCCGACTTGAACAGTCATTCTGTCTTTTGTCCAGTCTGGGAATGGCCCCGACTACATGGGAAAAAAACAATCTTAGAATTTGGCATCTCAAACCTTTACTATATTTTAAATGAATTTTTCTTAATCATAACAATATCACAGAAATATTTTTTCCTTCCCTTTGTTTTTGGTTGTTTGGGAACAGTTTCTTTCGCACAAGTAAAAATCAATTGGAAAATGACAAAAGAAAAACATAACAAAATCAAAACTAGGACGATCAGTATTACATGTTCTTCGTTGTATACGTAGCGTATTTTTTTTTTCTCTACATTCATATTTTATCATGTTATATAGCTCTTGCTATCGAAATAACTTTAAAAAGTAATTATTTATTATAGACCCTTCCACTACATACTTACTTTATCTTTATAATAACTGTATTTATATTAGTATGATACGTACTTTGCGCCACAGAGAGTCGTATACACTAGCCGTTTTGTATCTTCTCCAGTACACGATGTAACCAAAGCCTGGGGCACCGTGGAACTCGGGCTCCATTCTCTGTAATGAAGAATATTTAGGCATGGTAGAAAAATATCATAAAATAAACTTTCAATAACCAGAGCATATCGTTTATATATATATATATATATATATATATATATATATATATATATATATATATATATATATATATATATATATATATATATTGAGCATCCCCCTTCATACCTTCCAGATGATGCTGAGATCCCCCACGCTACCATTGCCCCCTACGATGTACTCCGCATCAACAGCCACGTCTGGTGCCGCTGGTTTGGTTTCAATAAATGCTGTCAAATTGAATTTGTTGTAGAAAATATTCAGAAGTTAGTTATTTTTTCCTTTGTATATAAAAAGAAAAAAAATACACAAACATTATATGATTTAATGCAAAGGACTGAATACTCACGTGAAGGTACACTCCATGTACCGACACCATATTGGTTGACGCCTGCAATTCTAAACCTGTAACCGTTTCCGGGGTGCAATCCTTCGATTTTTATCTGCCGCATGTCACTTTGCATGCCAACGGCACCCGGGATGATCGTAAATGGTTCTGGGAAATCTGAAGTACGTGAAAAAACGGGGTCAAAAATGATAAAATATATTTTATAAATACTACATTTGTAACACAAAATACCAAGAAATTAAATAGGCTCCATGTAGCAGAGACGAGAAAGCCAAGAAAACAGAACTGTTTTACTTACGTTGGGGAATCAATTTCCATCCTTTTTCGTGTTCAATTTCCCTCTCAACTACAAAATGCGAGACACGGCTGCCATGCTCTGCTCCTGGGAAGAAGATCAGCTGAATGGTTGTCTCCGTGGGTGAACCGTCCACCCCAACCACCCCAGCAGGTTCTCCCGGGGGACCTGGATATTACAGGAATAAATTTATATATAGTGAGTACTATTAATTGTATTTAAATTTAAATTGTATTTAAATTTAAATTGCATTTAAATGTAATTTTTAACAGATTATAGCATGAAATCCACATGCATTATCTGTAAACTGTATTCAGTGAATTTTTAGTCCGTTTTATTATCGCCCCTTTCGCCTTCGTCGTTAGTTCAATAATGAAATAGAGTTATCCTTCTTTTAGCACACACCTGTCTGGACGAATTAAATCGTTTCGAAATGACACGGGGCAAAAATTACCCCTGTATACAGAATTACGGATCATAAAAAATGTGAGTTTTTTCGTTCTTTTATATATATATATATGCAATTCAATTTCAGAGACGTCGCACGCATACTTTATATGCCTGGTTTAATATCATGTTCAGAGATACTGAAGAGTAATTCATGCAAAGCACAAACATATAAATTTCTTTGATTTAAATTACTGCTATAAACAAAAATATACATGCTGTTATTTAGGAAAATCCATATTTGTCATTGATCATAATTGATGGTACCAAATACATGCTAATTATGAAAGATCATACCATATACTGCCAGCTTTGTTGATCTAGCATCTTGGTTTAGAGTTGTTTTGGCAATACATTCGTAAGTCCCTGCGTGCTTAAACTGTGTCATAATGATATTGAGTCCTGTATGGGTTGCGCTGGTGTCCTGGGAGAGAAAATGAAATTAATTCAATTATGGTATTTTTTAAAGGAAAATGTAAAACGGAAACATAATGAAGTTCTTCTCAATTTAAATTTTTTTCTTTCCTTCACATGTTAGAATTTGCAAAGTATTCCATTCTTTCGAATAAAAAGTATATACTAGTATATATTAGTATTTTCATAACATACCAATCTGTAATGAAATTCTCTCTCAAAGTCGATAAGTTTCCCATTGAAGTTCCACATATAGACAAGGTCAAGGTTCATATCATAAGAGGCCTTACAGGGAATAAAGGTGGTCCTGTTTACGACCACGGGGTCAGTCACTGGGGGAATAGTGATCACAGTGGCGGCTGTAAATATGGGGACAATAATGGTGAAATTTTGATCATCACCCTGAGTTATCTATCATAGGATCAGTAAAACCTTTTAAGATTTTCAAATATGTTTCAGAGCGTTCGATTTGCAATAGTAGTCTGACCAGAAGAAAAAAAATGTTCACTGAGTATATTTTTAAGAGAGAAAATATCAACATACATTGTACAACCAGTTGTCCTGTGCTTTTTGCAGGTGGTTGGATTCCATTATCCGCCACACACGTGTAGAATCCGGCGTCGCCGTAGGTAAGGTCCTTTATTTGTAGATTACCGTTGGGCATCATTTTAATCCTGTTGCCATCTGGTACCAGGTTGATGTTGTTTTTGGTCCAAGTGATTGTTGGCGAGGGAGCGGCCTCTGGCTTACATATAATTATGATCTCCCCATTTAAGGCCCCTACCATGTGGGATTGAATAGGGTGTTTTCGTAGAGTCGGTGCAAAATCTAAATAAATAAAATTGCAAAATAAAAAAATAATAATAATAATTTAAAACTACTTTTATCTTTTTTTCTTTTCATGAAAAATTTTTAAAGCCTGACTTACGTAAAACTCTTAGCTGCCCAGCAGACATCGCCGTCCCGTGGACATTGGTGGCAGCACATTGGTACATTCCATTGTGCTTCTCATCCAAAACTGGAATGGTCAGTATGTTCCCGGAAATGACGTAATCTGCGTTGTTTCCCGACTGTAAGATTTCTCCATTTTTAAACCACCTTTAGAAAAAAAAAACCACATAAATTCTGTCTCAAAGTTCTCTTCTAGTATTAACATGACAATTTTAAAGGAATCATCATGTGGATATTTTAAACATTTAAGATAAACATACGTGTACGAAGGTTGTGGATAGCCCATGGCTTCACATCTCCAGGTCAGCTGGGAACCCTTGTCTACGTGCTGGTCATCAAGGGGAATGATGAAATAAGGCACAGCTGAAAATCAGATTTAATGTACTGTAAACAGTTTCTCTTTTTACAATAATACCCTCTCTCTCTCTCTCTCAGTTTCATATTTACTTTATTTATAGCCCCCTTTTTAAGTTTCTTTTTAAAGCTTTCGTACGTTATTTTGACGACAGTTTTGTTTTTTGATACTTCTTAACTAAATTTTATTATTTTTGCGACAGTGTATAGAATTATAGACAAATAACTTATATAGTGGAAATGGCATCAAAAAGAAGAGAACAAATAAATAAATAAATTGAAAAAAAAAATAAAAGTGAAAGAGAAACAGATAACACACTCAATAATAATCTCTGGGTTTTCATGCTATAACAGTCCTTATCACAGGTGTCCACAATAATTTAGTTTGATGCAAAATTATTATTGAGAAATATCAAGTATTCAGTTCAAAAATTGAACAAATTTACGTTTCCCCCCAATTCAATCAATATAGCGGTTATTGCCTTGTTATCTCTTTTTTTTTAAAATTATTATGCCATCAATTAAACGATTTTTTTTTTCACATTATTTGATATTCTAGAGTACAAATCGTATTGTTTTGAGTGGATTTTCAAGAAAAGTGTATTTTTATAATTTAATTTTATCACTACCTTCCAGTCGCAGAGCAATAACTTTGCTGTCCCTGGCTTGATGTCCACGCTTGACATGACAAACATAGTTCCCCTGGTCCTCTAGGCGGGCGTTTTTAATGATCAACACGCGGTTAAAATCCGACATCTCTGCATTCTCGGGCATCGGTCTTCCCTCCCTCGTCCACCAATAACGCCACATTTCTATGTAGTTATTGGATCTGTAGATTTTTATTCAAAATTAAATCATTAAATCGAAAATTAAAATGAGAATTGATATGAATTTGAAATTACTTTACTCTTCAAATATGAGGCAGTCCAACTGCTGAAATATACCGGTATTTATTTCGGAGACATTTAAGTGGGAATAAGCCCAACACTCACGAGCCATAGGCAAAGCATTCCATGCGAACATTGTGTCCCTTTAGTGGGGGTTTGGGGAAAACATTGATGAAATCATCTTGAATTTCTGGACCCCACTCAGTTTTTGCGGCTGTAAATGAAGGAAAAGTAAGAGTTGGGATAATAGATTTCAGAGAAAAATACACGTATATGTAACAATTTCAAAAAGGAGGGGGAAAAATCGAAATTGTATGTATGGTGTAAGCTTACTTTTGTAATAATTTATCAATAAGTTACATAAAATTATTTTGAACTCGATGGTACTAGGAAAAAACTTAGAGATCTCCAATGATTCGAAATATCAACATTAAGAATAAGTTGTTGGAACTTTCAACTCACTTCACATATCCCTTGTATTCACTATATCGATGTTCGAAATACTTCAGTTTAAATGTAATTAACTTTAATGAAAAAAATAGTCTTATTTTGTTTGAGGGAGACTTAATCTTTTTAAAGAATGTTAACATACTTTATATGCATTTGTCTCATATACAGTATCAATAGAACAAATTAACGGACCTTGAGCCAAGACATTCAGTCTGATAGGGAGACTGGTTTTGCTGACTGATTGGACATCGCTGACTTTTTCGCTAGTAAGACTGGTCAATGTCACCTGACAGTAGTAGTTATTGGCGTCCACCTCTGTAACTTCTGAGAAGTACAGATTTCCATTATAAGACATAAACACGTATGGCGTCATAGTTCGGATGATATTCTTAGGTCTGCCGCTTAGCTCTCTCTGCCAGTTATATACAACAGCTGCAATTAATCAAATTAAAAATTAGTCAAAGCATTAATTTATGGCAGTAATTTGTAAATTTTAGGATAAAGCAATGTTCAGGTGGAGGTAAGTTGCAAAGAAATTTTTTCGATTTTCAGGGTTACCTGGTTTAAATGCAATGTTGCTACACTGCATCACGGCTCCATCGTACATGTTGGCATTTACATCAGCATCTTTGACGTTTGAAAATTCTCCCAAAACTGCAAGAAATCAAGAATTTTAATTTAAACACGTAAGAATATTATGATTTTATCCCCTTTTCCTTCCATAGCAAAATGGGGGTATATTCTTGATAATATACATGAATCTTCTTAGTGTTGTCCAGAGGATGTCGCCTCATAGGGGAAATATAAGGCCAAAAAAAAACCCAGTTAACTTCAAACGTTATCCATGTAATTTTTGAAAGATAAAAGATTAATATTCTCTTTTAAGAGCAAAGGTCAAGGTCGTCGCTATTACAAAGTTTGCCAATCTAGGTTTGCGGATGGAACTTTTACTTGTTACTTTTCAAACCCAAAATCTTAATATATACTATTGTATATAATTTAAAAGAAGAGAGAAAGACGGGTTGATTTTCAAAAATACACCAGAGGTCAAGGTCAATATAGCAAATTTGGAATATTGGTTTTGAGTGATATCTTTGATAGAGATGAAGACCTGTCGTCATTTTATAACAGACCTTCATGTAGAGGATACAATAAGTTCCAGTATACCTTCACGTGGTTTGTAAAATACTCCATAAAATTTAAAAGGACGGAAGAAAACTTTCATGATCTACTTACATCCGAACGTGATTTTAACGGGATTACTAAGAACTTTTCCAACTTCATTCTCCACCAGACATTGATAAATCCCTGCATCCGAATTTTCTTCAGGATTTTCTATCGTAAATTTTCCGTTGGTTAGCGTATAACGGGTCTCCTTTTTTGAGGATATCTGATAAATAGTGATATACAATTTCAAAACTTTCTCTCAAAATCAGCCACTATGTGCACATTAAGATTGAGACTTTACTATAAAGCTTGTAAATTGACATAACAATCTTTTTCGATTCCATACCGTTTCGGCATCTGCCAGGGAATTTATAGTGGAATTGGAACCACGAAATCGTTTCCATTCATATGTTGGTTGTGGGAATCCAATAGCAACTGCTTCTATAGTGACAAACTTTGATCGACCAATGATTGACAAATCATTAGGCTGTAACTCCAGTTTGGGACCTTTCTTCACATTCTCCATTTCATTGTAGGGGACACCATAGTCTGCAAAATGCATGTTAATTCATTGAAAGAAAAAAAAGAAAAACAAAGTAATGATGGTGTATTTTGTGTTTTTTTTAAAATGGAGTAATAGTTAAATTATCATTGGAAGCAGCTCTTTTTGTTTGTAGTTGTTGTGGGTATTGAAATAGCATGTTCACTAATATTTTGTGTCTATTTTTCTTCCATTTTTTTTGGGGGGGGGGGGGGTTGTGGGGTTGTAGAATTTACATAGATTTCTTACCAAAACCTCGTTTTTCTTGTGTAAGTTTGTAAGCCTCTGTTTGGCTAATTTCACAAACGTAAGACATTTTATCTAACTTGCTACCAACTGTCCATGCATATGAGATTCCTGAAAAACAAAATTAAGTTATAAAACCTGTGTTTATTAATGTAACCCATTATTGGCACCAGGTAGTCTATAACAAAGAACCTTTTCCACATAAATATAATTTTTTGAATAAATGAAAATTTATGAAACCACAGTACAAAATTCAGTACAGGTGAATATTATTAGGTTACAGAATACTGCATAAAAATATTCTATGTTATTTCTTTTCTCTGACAATAAATAATTTATTCAGGATTTTAGTCTTTATAGTGTGAAGAATTCTATAGAAATTTGTCATTTCTACTTGTAGAGTATCATGAGTCACATAAAAATGTGAAAAATAGTCGTTTAACTAATTCTTACAAATAACTGTGCAATTTCTTCTGTGGGTTTATGACGTAAGTAGACACTTGGTGCATATGCAAATGTGACATAAGCAGCACTAAACATAAAACAATGGGAATGAAAAGAAGATCATTACCATCAAACTTGTACACAATAACGTCTTCTTGCCGGGCAGTGGGGGTAAAGTGGGTCTGATCATTTGGGAGCCAGAACTGCATGTCCTGAGGGATTCTATTGTTCGTAAAGTCTCCGTCCCAGGCGTACATGGAGGGATTCTCACGGCTTCGCTGACCAGTCGTAAACCACGTGTTCCTGAAAGCAAATTGAGGGGTTTTTTTTTCATTTAAATTTTTCAGGGAAATATCTTTAATTTATGCTGTTGGAAAGTCTTTTTGATACTTGATATTAAGATAACAAGAAATGAAATAAACACGATAAATGGAGACATTTTTTTTCCCTTAAAAATGATTTTAGTATTAATGTCTGTAGCAGATTTTCTTAATGTTCGCATGGAATGTTATCGTATATAGTAATATTCATACAAAAATATTGTTATGATTCAATTTGTTTATTTACCAATTAAGGGCTCTCATGGGGCAAAAAGAAAGTACATTGTAAACACTTATATATATGAAGCTGGGTATGTCCAAAAATTGACAAGCGTTTCTAACCTAAAATAATCATTATTTCGTAACCAGCCATCAATAAAATCATGCTCATCTCTGGATTTCACGGATAATAAACTTGTACCAAGCAACTGTCAAGAAAAAAAATAGCAACAAAATCAAATAGTATATATACTTCTTTTATCTTTAAAAGATATTCTCAAGACTATTGTGTATTGTACGATAATCAAGTAATGCTTTAGATCCGGTAAAATTATTATAGTTCTTTATCAGTATTTTCTTGTTTTAAACATAAAGCTCATTCCTAGTGTTTAAAATCTACGAGTGACTTGGATATAAAGGTTCCAAGAAATAGTGAAGCTTCTTATATAAATAACTTTCCAAGATATTCTAGTGCCAAATATAACGAGTCCTTATGGTTTTTATCAAAAAGCATTTTTTCTAAGAGAAAGGAATTTCCCTTTCTTGTTCCAAGCATGAATTAGATCATCGAAAAACTACAAATTTTTCGCACCTTAAACACGTGTTTAACTATTAGTTGGAATTGAAATCAGTAAAACCTACCGAGCACTGTCCTCTCGCTTGTTCATATGTTTCTTTGGGATCAAATACAAACTTATAGCAGATGTTATTGGACGTGAACCAGTCAACCGGGCAATCTGAAAATCGTTATAAATCCAAGTAAACTGGGGGGAAAGAAAAGTTTTTAAATCAAGTAAAATTAATTTGGCAAAGGATAAAAGAACTGGGTATACAGATTTACTATTAGAGTGATTTTTAATACTCGAATATGGTTTGAATTATTCACAGCTATACAAGAAAAAGAGTATCTTATTACTTCAAGATAAAGTAAAATATAGAATTAACATAAAAAGTTTTATGTTACCAAAAATCTGTAGGTTCACAGTCTTAATTATGCCAAGTAGAAGAAATGCCCACACTTTTATCTGAAAGAAAATAAATGCATTTTGAAAATATCCATTAGGACACTGAGTGATTCAAAATGCTTGTGGTTTCCGTCGATTCTCGATACTAGAAATAGAATTCCTAGTAGATACACTTTTGATACCTAAACATTCAGAACAATAGTAGATATACACATGACTTCTATCCTGCTACTTCGAATGAAATGTTTCAGTGTTTCGAGACCAATAACCTCAACAGTGAGTGAACAAAGGTCCCATCTTAAAAGGTTACGTATTCAGGAACAAATTTCCTTTGCAAATGCAAACATCATACAGTGTAGTACACATCTTTGTTATTCCGAGCAAGTTCTTGTACGATTCTGATTTCAGACAAACATATGTATCGAACAAAAAAAAACAAAAAAAAAAAAAAAAACAGAACCCCCCCCCACCCCCCAAAAAAACCCAGCCAAAAAAAAAACAAAAACAAACAAAAACAAAAAAAAAAACAAACAAACAAACAAACAAAAAACCACAACTTTCGTGGGAGAGGCAAGCATAACAATATCTGGTACTTATATTTCAAAATTTGCCATATTGATTGATAAAGTGGTTGAGATAGTTTCCGCATGATACAATATGCTTATTTTGCAAGTAAAAGATTTCAACTTTATGAAAAAATTAATAATTAGGTTTCAAATAAAGTCTGAATTATAATTGAGCAAGAGAAAATACCTTTAATTAGTTATTCTCAGGTTTTAGTTGAAAAATAGGAAAAGATCGATAACGATTAAAAACAAGAAAATTAAGCATGTTTTTATGTACCAATTTTGACAAACCAATGATTCAAAATTCAGTATTCGTTCAGCAAATGCTCTCTCCCTCCTCTCTCTCTCTCTCTCAGTAAATTTAAATTATTATCATAGAACTGTATTTTTTCTCTAGAATTTCATTTGAAATTTACACATACATGTATTTACATTTCTGCAGGTCACCGGAAATGCTGTTATGTATGATTTCATACTTCTCTCTTTCTCTCTCTCATTAGATGTAAATTTAAATTCTTATCATAGAACTGTATTTTTTCTCTAGAATTTCATTTGAAATTTACGTATAAAAATTGCTACAGGTTACAGGAAATGTAGGATTTCATACTTGACTTTACTTGTGTGAGGAAAGTTGTCAAACAAAGTCATTCAATTCTCATACACACACCTAATTTGGAAAGACACTATATCTTTTATTCATCAATCTAGTGCCAATGCACCAGTGTCTTGCATAATAAATCATTATGCGTCTTTTCAATCTTATTAATATTCAAATTAAGTGGAGCAATAGCATGCATGTTTATTTTTATACATCATAATTCAAGACACAAGGTCTCTTACACTTTTATATACTACAAGATTTCCCATTTATAAGACTAGATACACCAGTTAGTGCATTCAATTGTGCTAATGCATAAAGTGTGCTGACATTTTAGTTTTAAAGAAACACGCTTATCAATTAAAATAAGACTTTTAAAATAATAATTCTAATGAAGTGTTCTATTTCTGCGAAAAAAAAAATTTCCATTAAAAAAATGTTTTCCAGCCGCCATGATTTCATACCTTTTCCTAGTTACCATAATTAGAAAATGAGATTAATTAACATATTACAACCATGTTGGAAATGTACCAACCAAACAAAAAGAAATCATGAGACAAAATTTAGAAATTTCAGTCTTAAATATATATCTTTAATTTAATGCTTCTAACATCCATTGATTCTATATAAGTCCATCAATACTGTCGTCCCGACCAAATGTTGACATGCTTTCTGTGTTTTTGCCCTAAGGTATGTTGAACACGCGCGCCATTTTTTATAGGTGAATCAGAAATTATACAAGACGATACTGAAACCTAAAACAAAAGATTCCTACAAAACCTTTGAATATAACTTATTTATTTAATTCCAATTACTATAGTAATATATTTTCACTTAAACCTATCAGTTTTTAAGGACCACAACGCAAATTTCACTCTGATGAATAACGTATCTTAACTAGAAAAAAAAGACAAATTATGATTGATTGCCTTTGTGGGCCATATTATACATATTTTGTCTCAACCCCCCCCCCCCCCCAAAAAAAAAGATACAATTAAGCCGAATCATTTTTATATAAAGATCACAAAGTGGGAATAGGGATGAATCTTCTTGAGAGCAAAGACGAAGAATGAAAAAAATTACAAATTGATAAAAGCGAAGAAGTCAAAAGGAATCAAACATAAACATTCATCCTAAAAGTGTTAGCATCGATACATCCTCGGATCCTTTTTGTTTTCTGTATTTATGAACTTTGTCATATAGTGAGCACATTTTCTTCAAATTCCTAATCAAGGAAACTTATGCAATGGCCTATATTATAGGTATTTTTGTTCTGTTTTTAATTTACTTACCTTTAAATTAATTTCCATAGTTTCTGATAATTTCTCAAAGAAATACATCTGTTTATGAACTACACATGCACGTTGTAAAAATCACATTCCCATAACAACAGAAGATTAATGAACTATGTCATATAATAATCCATTAAACTGCACATACGTTATGTCCTCAATACTCTGCGTACAAAATCAGCCTATTTCATTTTAACTTCTTCAATTCTTCGTTATATATTTTTTCAAAACACAATTTTACTAATGAAGAGAATACCCCGTTTCCTAAATCCTTGTATGTATATAAAGATTTGAATGGTTTTGCATCATGTAATGAAGTTTACGCATCAGTGAGCATACGCCCTCTGGGGTCATAGCTTACAGGGTCAAGAAATCATTCAAGCTTCAACTACATTTCCCAAGGTAGTGTGAAAATGTTTATAAAATACGTTAACTGGGAAACCTCGGGATATTACGACTATAGGGATCATTTTGTTGAAATTAAAAACCGTTATTAACTTTCCACACATGGTGACATAATTAAATATGGAAATTAACAATGTACGTCTCTCAACGAAGAACAGTAACTCTTGATATTAACATTTTGGTTCATTACTCCTAAAATAAAATATGAAATTAAAATCCTTATTTGATATTTTTTTAATTAAGAAATCTGTAAAAATATTTCCTACTAAATTTTAGAGAACATCCAAACTTAATAATAATTAACTTCAAACTTGTCAAATTATGGAACGCCATAGCTGCCTGAAGGTCATTTTCATTTTATATGAGGTAGTATAACCTTTATGTGAAGTGGTTAAGTCATTATATATAGTGGTAAAATCATTATATTCAATGAAAACTTTATTATATGCAGTGGTTTTATCATTATATACAGTGATAAAATCATTATATACAGTGATAAAATCATTATATTCATTGATAACTTTATTATATGCAGTGGTTTTATCATTATATTCAGTGACAATGTCATTATATGTAGTGGTTAAATAATGTAATGAAGTGATAATATCGATACATTATGTTGTAAAATCATTATATGCAGTGGTTTTTCCATTATATACATTACTGATATCTTTCTGTGATGTGATGAATTCAATATATACAGTACAAACATAATTTGTGTGATAAAGCAATCATTACATTGTATGAAACCCGCTGCATGTGGAGTGCCAAGTTAATTTCATTCAGTGCGACACCTTTACATGAAGTGAAAAATCTATTATGTGCAGTACTAAGATCATTATATTATATAGTAAAATTATTATATATATTCATAAAATCATACTTTGCAGTGGTAACATCTTTATATGAGGTGGTTAATTAATTATATGATGTTGTTAATTTGTTATATGATGTGCTCAATTCTTTTTATTCATTAGTCGTTTCATGTTATGCAGTGGTAACTTCTTTATCATCATCTAAACTGGTCCTCTTGCAAAAACATCTTTAAAAAATGCGCGGAGTTCCAGTTTAAAGAGTGTTTGAAAATAGGAAACCCGGGCCGTGGCAAATTAAAAGCCGGGACTATTCGAGATTTTTCAAATTTCTGATTTAAAATTTTTAGACTCTTTTTTTAGGCTAATGTGTTTTCGCTGTTAAAATTGTATTTAAATACTTGGTATTTTAGATTTTCTTTACGATTTTGGTTTCAAGTAAAATTGGTAGGCAGTTTCAATTTTCTGATTTAATATTTTATCCATTGTGCTATAAGTAATTAGTATTTTAGATTTTTTTTTTTTTTGGCGATTGTTGATTTCCATGTTGGTAAAATGGGTAGACTGGGTTGGCGATATTTTATGTGTGTGTGTGTGTGTGTGTGTGTGTTTTTTTTGTTTTTTTTTTTTTGACATATTTGATAAAAATCTAATAAACTTAAAAATTATTCCGATGTTAAACACTGTATTTTAACTAAAAAAAAAACTTTTTCTTTTTGATAGTTATTTCTTTATTTGAAAATGCTATTTTTATGCAAAATACACATTTTCATTAAAAAAAAGGATTATTAAACCAGATCCGATCATTCGGGAAGAACCTGGTGCAAAACACCATAAATCATTTCTAATTTCATAATATGCAAATGTGCACTGGTACATGTATCTATATGCTAGTAGATGGAAGGAAACTGGATTACGTTAAATATGTAATTTGTTTAATACTTTTTTCGGGGGGGGGGATGTTAAATTACTAATATCAACTATTTATAAAACTGTTTCTAAGACTTCAGAAAACCTTAAATCACATTGAAATGCTTAAAATAAACATTGCTGCATGAAAACATTTCATTTTCAAGTTTCATCTTTGCCGTCGCCAACGTGGCACGGTGATTAGAGTGTCTGCTCTAAGAGACGCGGAATAAGGAGTCAATCCTTACGTCACGGGTTCGAATCCGACAGTGGCACGTTGAGACCGGTCCTTCGTAAGAGACCGCATAAAGCCAGAAACCGAGGTCCCGTTCCACAGTAGGTGTTGGCACGAAAAAAATCCCTCACTGCTCAATGGCCTTAAGTGTCGAGTATAGGACAAAATTTGCAGCTCTCCACTGGCAAATTGTGGCGTCTCCATTTGAGTGAAAAATTCTCGAGAGGGACGTTAAACAGCAAACAAACAACCAAATTAAAATCATTTTAGCCTTTTTGAATAAAATGATAAAATTAAGAGTTATCCTTCAAGGCTGAGGATCGGATATCCTTAAACCAAGCAACTTACGCGTGATTAAAGTTTGAGACAAGGCTTTGCATTAATAGTCCTATAATTACATGTATATGTGATAATTCTTTAATTAATTTATATTTTATCAAATGGCATGTTGATAACAAATAAGTATTTCGGATTGTTTATGTTTGACTTCCGGGAGATCAAATCCTATTTTAATGAACCATTGGCGTCGGAAGGAAATTGATAGTGGGGTGGCTAATTGAAATAGAAAAAAAATCAAACCTGAAAAAAAAAACTTGACAAGCAAAAAAAAAAAGAAAATTGTTCTTTCTCCAAACCCGAAAATCCTATTTCGGGGGGGGGGGGGGGGTTTGGTCTAACATCTTTCAGTACCAAATTCTTTTAAACACTACCAATTACCCTTCTTTCACTACAATGAATCGTGCCTGTAGAAAGTGGGGAGGGGGGAGGCTAGATGTACGCACGAATTTTCAATGGTTATATTATGTCTACCTTTGTAAAAAAAAAAAAGTGGGGGGGGGGGCAATAGCCCCCCCCCCCCGGTTCCGACGCCTATGTGAACCGGTTTTTCTTAAACGTGTCATTTCACTCAAAAAATGCCTTTCAAAGAATGAATAATTTTTAACATCAGAATAATTTAAAAGTTTATTAGCTTTCTGTCAAATATGGCAAAAAAAAAAAGAAAAACAAAAAACAAACAAACAACAAACAAACAAACAAAACACGTAAAATGTCTACTTGATTGCCTACCCGATTTACCAACCTCACGGGCGGATTCAGAGAGGGCATATGGGGCCCGCCGCCCCCCCCCCCCCCTTGTGTCCAAAATATGCATAAGATTTAATAAATCAATTGTTTTCTGGTTTGACTGTGGGCTACCTACCCCGACCAAAAACTTGTCGGGCCCCCTTTTCAAGATTCCTGGATCCACCACTGAACTTGGAAATCAACAATCGCCAAGAAAATCTAAATTACTAAGTATTTTAAAATTAAATGCAATTTTTACAGCGAATACACATTAACCTATAAAAATGAGTCTTAAAATTTCAGCACAGTTGATAAAATCAGGAAGCTGTATAATAGAATCAGAAATTAGAAAAATCTCGAGTAGTCCCGGCTTTTAATTTGCCACGGCCCGGGTTTCCTATTTTCAAACACTCTTTAAACTGGAACTCCGTGCATTTTTTTAAATAAAAGGACCAGTTTAGATGATGATAAAGAAGTTACCACTGCATAACATGAAACGTCTAATGCATATAAAGATTTGAGCACATCATATAACAAATTAACAACATCATATAATTAATTAACCACCTCATATAAAGATGTTACTACTGCAAAGCATGATTTAAGGAATATATATAATAACTTTACTATATAATATAATGATGTTAGTACTGCACATAATAGATTTTTCACTTCATGTAAAGGTGTCGCACTGAATGAAATTAACTTGGCACTCCACATGCAGCGGGTTTCATACAATGTAATGATTGCTTTATCACACAAATTATGTTTGTACTGTATATGTTGAATTCATCACATCACAGAAAGATATCAGTAATATATAATGGAAAAACCACTGCATATAATGATTTTACAACATAATGTATCGATATTATCACTTCATTACATTATTTAACCACTACATATAATGACATTGCCACTGAATATAATGATAAAACCACTGCATACAATAAAGTTATCAATGAAATTAATGATTTTATCACTGTATATAATGATAAAACCACTGCATATAATAAAGTTTTCAATGAATATAATGATTTTATCACTGTATATAATGATAAAACCACTGCATATAATAAAGTTTTCATTGAATATAATGATTTTACCACTATATATAATGACTTCACCACTTCACATAAAGGTTATTCCACCTCATATAAAATGAAAATGACCTTCAGGCAGCTATGGCGTTCCATATCAAATGGTCGATTTAAAGTAAAATGTTGATCTTTGGAAAGATGCTTTTTGTGATTAAATGGAACTAAAGTGCAAAATACATGTACATCTTCTCAAAATACATGTACATATTCTCAGAATACATGTACACATTCTCAAAATACATGTACACATTCTCAAAATACATGTACACATAACGTTGTATTTCCATTAGTGAAACTCTTCAAAATTAGAGGCGCGTTTGGTCGTCTGACTGGGACAGCATGGCGTTGCGGATAATACAAAATATGCCAATCTCAATCCAATTTTAAATGTTAAATGTATTTGTCATTCCAATTAAAGAATGGAGGAACTAAAAGACATATGTAAGAGAGCGAGAACCCCAAATTTCTCATCCATTAATAAAAAAAAATACGACATTTCCGAGGCATGTGCACTGTATTTAGATGTATGTACC